TGGTGTTCACCTGTGGTTAGCAGTTATATATATATATATATATATATATATATATATATATATGTACGTAAATAGAATCGATGATCACTATTTTATCGACTGAATTTCATTAATGGCTAATGGATGAACTTGTTCAAGCAAATGTTGATGGTTCTTTGGTCAGTTTTCAGCCAGATCTTCATATTGCAATTTTGGAATTTGAGTAAGAGACACTGACGGAATAGAAATGGCCTAGAAATGGCTATTTTTGAACTGACTGGTAGGCTTACGATAGCAGCATTAGGTAGCAAATTTACAGAATTTCATTCTTACATTGAAAGAGACACGTAATCAAGTATCCCTTGCTTCACTAATGTTTCCTCTAGACCCCGAACGATTCCGATACTTTTTGCTACTTCCCGACTTTACGCGATAGATTCTTGTCTTGTAGTCGTACGGGTTTTTCAAACTAGACTTTCTTAATGACATAGATACTCCGAAGCGTTTGAAATTAATAAAAGTAAAAAAGTGTTTAATTAGACGACCAGATATGGCCTGATTGTTCGGGAGCTTTGCATGCCTTAAACGTATCACCTGTCGACCGAAATGAGAGCACCACCGCGTACGAAGACGCCAATATCTGGGCGCTTTTAAAACTTATCTTGAGAGGGAAATCGGAATAAAAAGCCTTTCTGGAAACTCAAGGTGAAATCGCGTATCCGAAACTTGAATGTAAGTACATACTGGTCCATTTCGAAAACGGTTCATATGTTGATTCTGTTATGCTTGGAAGACTTGAAAGTTCACCCTATGGTTCCTCAAAAGTAAATTCTAATAATAATAGGGATTATCATACAACAAGAAGCGTAAACTGGTGGGTTTCGTCTTTAGGGCACTCGCAGTTGTGAAATAGTTGTAGTAACGTAAGTTGAGATTGTTGTCGTCTGTGTGCGGAGTGTCCAGGCGCAGAAATTGATATTGTTTTCTGTTAAGTTAGTGAAACTAGTTGCCATTAAGTTCTATATTATCTCTAGCTCAGATAATTGACCGTTCCCAAGTTTCTTGCGCCCAGACTTCTTACACCTATGTTTTCCAGCAAAATTATTTTTAAAGGCCCATTCTAACCTTAAACAGGGCAACTATGATACGTCCCAACTCTGTGAGTGACAGATTTTAGTCACTGCTATAACTGCGGTGCTTGTAGAAACACAATGGTGAGATCGTAGCACTTTGCCTAACTTAGAAAGTATTCGTTGCTTAGGGAGGCTAGTATGAAACAGGGGATGTAGTTTATTGTATGGCCGTGCGATGTGTGAATGGTATCACTCATTTGTCGTTTTGAGTGATAGCAGTTCCTTAAGCTTGGCCCTTATAGTAGGTCTTTGGTGGATACAAGACGTAGTAATATTAATTTGGTTACACAATAGATAATTTTATTTTTAGTCAATTGATAATCAATCGTAAAATTGTGTACAGAGGAGGAATAGCGAACGATTAGATAATTATGTTGAGTGAAGATCCTCGTGATCTATATTTACTCGTGTTCATTTTATTAATAAATTCATGTATTTGATTATCTTAGACACGTTATTTTTAGGAATAATCTTAAATTGTAGTAATAATGGTCCAGCTAAGGGATGGCGAAGCCCAGCTAAGAAGCGAATATGCGGTAAGTGTTATTTTGGATATGTTACGGAACAACAAATAATATTCAAACCTGAAGGTCACTGCATATAAACAGTTTGAAAAAGACTCAATAAATGAAGAGTGAACCTTAGCCGTAACTTAGACGTAACCAGTCGCTAACATTCATTAATTTTCCATACAAAAAAATAAAATTTTCCATACACAAAAATCGAACGTAAATCAAATTCATGATCTGTACAGGCTTCTCATGGCGCACGTTTTCCAACTATATTACACAGAGTCAATTCTATAAATTGATACGCTACGCGCACTAGCACTACGGACATACGTTCGACGCTAACGGAGGTGCTGGTATGGCGGCGCTACTGGTTCCTTACTTCATACAAATAAAAAAGTTGTAAATGTAAATCGCTTAACCTATAAGAATCATGAACATGATGCAAAATGGACAGCTCACTTACTTTAGATCAGGATGCTGTTGCCAACAGAATAGGTTTTTGTTAAGGAACGCTTGAACCGCAGCCTTGGCTGCCCGCGACGCTCGCTCTAGTAACAATGAGACAGGTTTCTATTCTTTAATTAAATGCTATGTTTTATTGTTTCTATGAGATGGACCAAAGAAGTTAAGCAGCGATCAACATTTGGTCTTGACGTGCCAAGCGTGAATTAGCCCATCCTCGCACGTATGATGGCGGCCATGGAGGCTCAGTCCCTGGGGAAGGGGAGGGGAGGGAAGGTAGGGGCCGACAGGGGAGGGGGGATAGCGGGAATGGATGTCTCTCTGTGAAGTCAAGGATCGATCTGACAATGGCATGTTAGAGACCTATCATCACAGCTGCAGCCATAGGTTTGGTTTACTGGAAGGCTATTTGTCGCTACCAGTACTTTTTTGTTATTAAACATTTAACTTTTCGCAATTAGTGACCTCAAGGTGCCTTTTAAGTTGCTTTAGCAAACCTGGTGAAAGCCGGCTGTAGATACGTATGTATGATGGTCTTCATACGGAATTTACTATATTAAGTCTGCTTATCGGTTGAACTAGACTCAAAAACATTCAAATATAATACGATTTTGTTTTTCATTAGGGTCTAAAGAGGGTTTAGGGGACCTTCAATTTCTTACAGCTATACGTCTTTTTTATGAAACTAGCTTTCAGACGATCTTTTCGATTTAGCTTAAACACTTGAAAAGGATTTTCTTGATGACACTAAACTCGGAAACGTTCTAGCAGATTGTTTCTGCCGGATCATTTGTTCAGTTGTTTTTCCTCTAGAGAGGGATTGCCATTATTCGGAAAGAAAGAGAGCTAAAAGTCATTAGTCAGTTCTCGCTTTGCATTATTCTCGCTCATCTATTTATTTTTTTTGACTACGCAAAAATTTTGGTGTATCTTTTTACGACCATGGATTGAATAATGTTTAGTTCTCGTTGTCAGTCTTCTAGGTAATATAAATGATAGTGCGCCATGCGGTTCTAGATTTTCGAATTTCACGATGTATTTCTAATTTGGTACTGCCGTTCTGTGCTAGTTAGCCCTTGACAGCGACGCACTGCCTGTGGCCTTAACTGACATGCACTACCTTTAACATTCAATTTGCTTTTTCAGCCAGTAACTTTTCTAATGAATGAAACTATTCTAACGCAGCTCTACGTATGATGGCTATTTTGAAATCCCACCAGTAATTCAAATTTGGCGGGTTGGCATATCCTATTATACATCCACATATCCTTTCAGATACCGCCATTCATTGCGCAAGTTTGAATTCTCTTGTGCACGCGCTTGATTGTTTCGCCACTACCCACTCACGATTCCGTAGCATTTGTTAGTTCCACCTCATACTGCTTTTTACCGTTTATTAGTTGATGCGAATCTATTTGATAGTACCATGTTTCTACCATACGTTTTCCTCACCCGGCTACAATCGGCACACGCAAATAACATCTATTCATTTTTTTCAGCTTCGTTATGTTTTTAACGTTCTTGGCAATATTTATTGTATAGACAAATTCTCTGGAGCACATCGTCGGTATAGCTTCAAGATTTTGTCTACATTAGAGGGCCTAATCATTCTTTTGACATGTCATTATGGTGACTCCATGTTGTCAAATCAATGGTAGTAACTTCACGATGCGTAATGCTCGGATCTTTTGGGATTATCACCAAGAAAATTTAGAATTACTCGTATTTTTGGTCAATATTTCCCTGTTTTTTTTGTGAGCTTTCCTTTTGTACTTCCAAACTATAAACCGAAATGACTGTTTTGCGTTCAGTGACTCATTACATTCTTTATATGTGACTGGGTGTTGAAATCAGCTTTTGCGATAGTATGCATTCTCGACACATCACGATGCTAAGCAGGCGCGATATACGCAAAGGATGCTTAATACCAGTCACAGATGTAACCATTATATATGCTAGTTTTAAAACGTCTGGCGCGAATCTTTTTCTATCTTAGACCTTCTGCATGTTTTCGAGATCCCTCTTTTTTCTCCTGTGTTCGGGCTTTTCCTCTTCCGTTGAGCGCACAGCCTCTTCTTAGCTACAGTTATTCGTGATTTGTTAACTAAAATTTGTTACTAGGTTTCATTCTTTCATATCGCTCCCTGTTGTTACTATACTTGTGACCCATCTAGTCAAATTGCCCGCTTTACATTTATTTATCTTTTTCATCCAATATACGCGAAACGCGTCTATAAAATACCTCAGTCTAATTACCCAATGACTTTTTTTCATTATATTGTACTAGTATAGGTTGAAAATCAACATAATCATATATATATATATATATATATATCTTTTTTTTTCTACAATTCGCGCAATGAATTACTGGATATACGCTCAATGCTGCCCTATCTAATTCATCTGACACTTTAGTTCATTTTTTTGGCTATTGAATGTTATTTCTTTCACGCCTAGTTTCAACCGACCTCGTTGATACCTTATACTTTTTGTCGTCTGTCCCTCTCCTTGTACTCAATATCAATAGTCGCAAAATATCCAAACTACGTCTAATGATGAATTTAAAAGACGGGTACATTAAAAATACAACACGGTATAGTTTACAACTACTTGGCGGCTTTGTTGCATTTTTGTACCGATGTCCATTGAAGTTCATCTGTAAATTATCTAAAATAATATATTACTTAAACATGAACGTCCGCTAGCTCGCCCGAACAATATGCGATGAATACACAATGACTAGAATCTGCATATTGCCTCTACGATTCCATGGGGTACGCATGAGTGACCCATAATTAATAAGTTAGAGCTATGCTACAAAATGTGTTTTTGCTCGCCCGACTCATCGCTTCATCGTTCGAGATTCAATAATTATCTATACATTCATGTAGGGCTGTACATCAACGTTCGTGCTTCAGGATAGGGCAAGCTGATGTTCGGAATATCAAAGGTATCGATTGTTCAGCCACCGAACACTATTTAACATTGATAAATACGCGTACTTTGTTTAACTCTACGAATAGCTTTAAGCGAAGACCGAACGAAGGCGACATTTTTTTAGAGTAACCTTCATTGACAAGTTAGTATTCAAGATGATATCAGAACTCCCACAGTAAATGTATTAATCCATTTTCAAACGCCAAATCGAAACGTGTGCCATATTAGTAATAGGATTAGCGTACAGCTTTTTTTTTGGGCAATCGATTTCTTAAATTGTACGGCTCGAGGATCAGACGAAGCCGCAATGGAGCTCACACTCTACGGCATAATACGAGTATGCATCTGGCTGGTTTCACTCAGTGGCTTCATGTACCAGGTGTCAACCATATTAAAGATGTATTGTCTCTACCCATTTACTGTCACCGTCGTCGAGCAATTGCAGAAAGGCATTCTGTTTCCGGCCGTAACCATCTGCTCCGAGAACTGGTAAGTGATTGATATGATGTAGGTCAGGGTGAGGCACAATACGCACTAAAGAAAATCCGCCCAGGCGTCGATGGAGGCGTTATTCGAATGGGAAGATTATTTCAAACGCATCTGCTTTCACTGGATCAGTGTCAAAGTGATGAACTAGTTGTAAGTTGACAACGTGCGAACTTGATCTGTAGACTTCATGATCATAGAAAAGCGATGGCTTTCACATTTCTATATTGTTATATTTTCATGTTTGTATCAGGATCAATCGTTCCCGTTTGTGCGCCGCAGTTCCTCATGCTTGCGTCGATGGTTCTCAAAATGTCGGTGACAACAATTTTAGGATCGAGTACGATTTCGACTTGCAAAAAGACGTTGCTTTAAAACCGAATGAGGTGATGGAGTGTTACATGCGATCGAACGATCCTACTTGTCCAGCGTTTACCTGCTTTGAAGCGTTAGTATCGTCATATCATTTCAGCTAACCTCAACAAATCTGATCGTTCGAATGATAACTTAGCTTAGTGTTTGATATTGCGCAAGCTAGGTATTACAGAAGAGAAAACGATGAGCAAGGTGCAAAAATAAACCTAGAGGGGACACGACATATATAGAAAACGTGGGTTTACTTTTAGGAAAAACGTAAGTTTACGGGCAGCACAGTATAAGCGTATGTCAGACACAAACCTAATTAGACTTTTATTAGGACCACTAATGATGTATTTTCTTGAGTCACATAATTTAAGTACATTTTTTCGACCTTTTGTCGTACGATAAAACGTTCATCTGGCAGTTTGAGAGTGTTCATCTTCATCTGTTAAAGTAGCAAAAGATTATACATTCCCCGAATTCATAAAAATTACTGTGTTTCCCTTATAGGCTAAGGCGTTCCTATTATCGTCATCCAGGACATATGTGTTACACGCTTGATTTACTAATCACAGACCACCGCAGAGACGCCTACCTCGCCTGCAGATCTCCTTGGACCTTGGGTGTGCATTTTTAAGATCTTACGTAACCGTTCTACTTTTATGATTTGTTTGTAAAAAAAAACACGATAAACCCATAGAGTTCAATTTTATTTATTTTTTTTTTATTTAGCTAAGCTCTGCCGATATTGATGTTATTTACCTTATGACGACAAGTATCCTTATGATGGTATGTTGGCAACCCTTCATGCGATGTCAATGTATTTTATGAATAGAATAAACATGGAAATGTTCTTATGAACGGTTTTAAAGTTCTGCACTGAAACGGCGCAAACAATTTTAACACAACAAAATTATTTTCTGAGGCGTTGCACAACTAACGAGTTGAAACACATATGTTATCCTTTAGATGCATAATTTTACTCAGCTGATAATCTCTTCCCATTTTAAATTGCCGCTTTGATAATGTCAAAGTGTGAAATTACTGTGAAGCATGAAGGAATATGGACTTTTTATATTTGTGAATAGAGTTGACATTGAACGTAATCTGGAGTCCAGAGAAGACCATGAGCCTGCAAAAAGAAAACAGTTACCCTATACTCATTCATCGACCAGAAACGACCCCTCCAGATAAGCTTGCTTCACTAATCGCTGAGGCGGGTAAGCTTTGTTCCGTTAGACGTTTACGTAAATATTTCTACAGGCTGATTCTTTTTTCCTATAAAATATTTCTGTAAAAAAAAAAGTCTTTACACACGAGATTTATGCAGGAGCAAATCTGCTAGTGTAGGTGCATGGTTGAGCACTGGAATTAATAGGTATTATAATCTCAACTCCTTTCATTCATTTTTTTGTTCATCCGGCCATAGATAGCAGCATGTCTATTGTAGACCGTTAACATTTCCGACGATAACTAGCGAAGTTTAACGGACGGGACTCATTCTTTGTTGCGTCGAATAGTGAAGTGTTATTATAATGTTATCTAGTGTTGAACGTTGTTTTTGCGTTTGTTACACATTATTATAAATACATTCACTTTTCACTCTCGCGGGTCGAGTAAGGTCAAGATGGGCTGAAGGGAAAAACGCTATACAATGCGATACACAACGAACTATTCACTATATTGATGTCTTCTACCGGTTTCAGGTATGCTCTACGTCCTGTCGGTGACACAGCAGGTTACAAAGCGCCTACCTCCTCCGTATGCGTCAGGGTGCAGTGATTACCTGAAAGAGGGCGCTGCCCTGGAAATGGGCGGATATCAAAGCCAAGATGTTTGTCGCTTAGCAACAATTGTACAATTGAATATTTTCTTAATATAATAATATTGAGCCTTTTCAAGAACATAAAAAAGATGTGTTCTTAAACTGCTGGAAGTAAATATACGTAGGTATAAAAATGAGAATCTTTCTATTAAAAGTTCTGTCACTCGAAGAAGTATTGTAAAATCTACTTATTTCTAATTGTCTTGGGCGTATTACAGACCTGCATCCAAAAGTGCCGCATGCAATTGGAACATCGTTTCTGTGGATGCGTTAGTCCTCTATATGAATATTCAGCATATTTTGGAAAACCAGCTTGCGCTCGTGTTCACAATGGTCAGCTGTTCTTCCTGGGAGACAAGAATAGATGGATATCAGGGGTTCACTTACTCGTCGCGTTGTTTCCAGTGAAGCTTTGATGAAAGATTGCAACATCCATTGTATAGTTCTGTGTGAAAAAAAAAAAAGCATAAATATCTAATACCAAAGTACATTTTAATTACAAGTGTTAAATTGCCTTGAGGGCAAATTATTTTTAAATATTCGGCCGTTACCGGTGTTGACCTTTTAAGCGTCGGCCAATACTGCGCCTAGCAGACACTGTTAATTCTTTATTTTGATTCAATAATAATTTGTTTCATCAATCTTCTTACTCGAGTAGAAGTTCGAACTTTTTGGGGAGTTAGTTCCGCCCTATAAGATTTTACGTAGAACGTGTGACGATACTTGCGTACAAATGTTTAAGTCATTCAATTATGTAGATACTCCAATTCAGCTGTTTTGGGTAAAGTTTTTAATATTCTTCGAATTCACGGCTTAACGTGCTATTAGCAAGGATCGATGTGAGCTTTAAAATGTCATTTTAGTGCATAATATGTTAATTTTCAAAAAGGTTAGGTTACAAGACGGGCTGTCTACGAAAGACGTAGAGAACATATTTTAATGAGCCGAGTTCAAAGGTCATAGGTACTCGAAGGCGAAGTGTAGTCACTATGCTGGAATTTTACAGAGAAATGTCAGAATGAACTCGAGAAAAACAATACCTTCATCGTCTGCAGCAAGCGCTGCCGCGCGCCCTGCGAGTAAGCTTTTGCCACTCTTCTTATCGAATCACTCTAATGCCTAATGACAATAATAATAATAATAGTAGCTCTATATGCGCAATGATAAACACTGGGTCGAGTCATAGTGTTTATAGGTAGTTATGATATACAAAAAGTAATAATACGGCACCTATTTACTTTCAGCGAAACAACGTATGACGTTCGGTTGACGGGGATGTCACTAATTCCCGTAAGTTGCATAGCAAAAATTACATTTAATTGTTAGCCGACTGAACTGTATATTTCGAATAAACCTCTCTAGCAGGTTGTCAGTTTGTCTTACATGACTGCAGAATTTAGTCTAACCTAAAGCCTACCGGCCTAATCAGTCATTGAGTATTTTAAGCAACCTTGTTTGAAGACTAGTAGTGCTAATGCAGTCACTAGACGTTTCTTAGCTGGCATTTCGTTGGTTCGGGCCCTACCCGTATTTCGGTAAAGGTGAGCTAAAATACAAAATTAGACACAAAGTGGCATCGGTTCATCTCAGTTTATTAGGAAATTCGTCAGCGAATCTTCCCAGCAGCTACTGCCGGACAAGTCCTTACTGAACACAGTAGCCTCTCTGGGACTCTGAAGAAAAAATGTAATATCAGCTTTTACGTAGACGCCCAACAATAATGACTCATGATGAATTGCCCTATAGGTTCTTTCGATGCTAAACACCAAGGCGGTTCCGAAAATGGCTAGCGGACCACAGTGCAGCAAAGAATAATGTTTTTTTTTTTTTTTTTTTTGGTAGGACAGCACCAATGTCGGGTAAGTATCGTAACTGCTTGTCTTAACGTCTCTTTAACTGCTATGCAAACTGTGTCAGACTATCCGCTTTTGTTTGCGTGTAGGTTTTTATAGATACAAAAACTAAGCGTCCCATTTCACTAATACATATACATCCGGGGATTTTGCTTTACAGTTTGAATAAACTTTTCATCAAGGTAAAGTTTTCTTCAGACACACAGAAGATTTTCCTCTATCAACCAAAACTATCGGTAAGTGAACGATTAAAGGTCTCACATTCTCATAAAGTAAAGTTGCTTTCTATTATAAGTCCAATGGTAATTAGTTTTCTATTGGAATACAGGCGGATTTTTCTCGTTCCGTCCAGAATCAATATCCTTCTAAAAGACCATTGGCCATGACGCGCTGTAGAATAGTTCGAGAACAAAGATGAAGCAATGCAGTTTACTTTCCAGGCATTTAATGCGTAATGGAATACGCCATTACATTGTGATCACACAATCGTTAACCAATGTGAGAATTGAACCCTACGGGTGCACCGAAGGACGCAGCTCAATGTGTAAACATGTCACAATGTGTCGTTTGCAGATCGTAGAAGTGTTTGGATATATGGGGGGATACCTCGGTATGTGGTTAGGTTTTTCACTCTTCTCCATTCTATCCGGCTTAGAAGACAAGTTCGAACGATTCCTTATTCGACGGGCACACGCACTTAAGAAAACCCCAGCGTAAGTACTCAGAATCAAGTTTCGAACGACTAATTTTTCGGAGCCAGATCAGACGTAACGTATTCCGCATACGCTATGCAGGCGGTGGAATTATCACGTATGGAATACAATAGCCTAAATGGTAATAAACTATAAATCACAACTGCAACTTTCGTCGTATTGTAATTTCAGCTATCTGTTACGAACGTATCAGCTTTTACTGTTTCGTAAATCATGATTCGTTTCATTTGCCCTATACAGAGAATGACGTTAATCATAAGTAATATTTCTTCGTTCGAACTGGAAAGCTTTATTATGAACATTTGTTATCAAACGATTTGCCTTTCTGCTTTGCATCCAAAATGGGCAAATTGTTTATTGTTATGTATTTTAAAAAATGTTTGCCCTCCATGTCGCCGATGTAGGGGACCGCCCATCGAAATAGCGTACGAGATCAGAAAGTATATAGGCGTAGAATAGAAATTAGTACTCTAATGAGTGCCGACTGTGTCAAGCAGACCGGTGCGTTTTAATTCGACAAAACAACGGATCAATGACCACAAGCCGCGCGGAACTTTCGAAAAGCGAGTCACGGTCAAGGATTTGGGTAAGTCAATACGTTATTGTGTAAAAATAGAAGATACGAGTTACCCTTTACTGTTATATTAACATGCTTCTCGAGTACTCGTTTGATGCAAATCTTGGAAGTAAAAAAATCGGTGTTAACATTCGAAAATAGAAAACTTCATTCGCCACTAAATTTGTAAGGTTTTCATTTTAACTTCGATATATTTTCCTCGGTATATAAGCTGATAGGCCCTTTGCTGAGAATCTTTACTTTTGTTAATCAGCATAAATATTTAATGTTATTATTGTATATTATAATATAAGAATATAGGATAAATTAAAAAAAATAATGAAATGATGATGATGAAAATGATAGTAATGATCATCATCGTCCGACAAACCTTAGTCGAATGAACTAAACTATAGTGTAAAGCTGTACAAATATTACATAATTTTTTCCAGTTACATCAGATTCATCTTTATTGTTCTGCAGTAAGTGCTGGATTCTGGCCCTGGTCAAGCAATAATGAATGACGCCCTTAGTTTATCGCGTTGACTGCCTTTCAGACACAACACTCATTGGATCCGGCGGGAGTTCACAGTATTAACTCAGCAACAAATCGGAACTCTTACGGATATAAGAATATACGATAAATTAAAAAAACTTCGACCGATGCTATGTAGAAACCTTAAAGGAGATACAGGCCGAATTGTACCACGATCCTGTAACCTGTAGCCACGTGCAACTGTCAAAAATAACACCATAGTATCTGCGAGACAAATGTATATCTAACATCAATCCATACGTTACTAAACGTCGTTAACAAAGACTCGATAAGATTTCCGAAGCGATATATTTATTGCGAGCAGATGGTTGTATCGCTTTTACTCCGTTTATTTGCCTACTTCGGGGCGGCATTAGTCTCGTATGAATTTTTAGCAACCTATTCATCGATGTGACCATTGGGGGGTTGTCGATCTATCAGAACAATTATTTGCGTACAAATTTGAAAGCTTTTTGGTTTTTTAAACACATCTTACATATATCTCCATAGGTTTACTCTCCACGACCATTCTTCATGGGCAACTCTAGCGTCGTCGTTATTGCCATTTGGTTGATTTTATGACTGTTTGCCCAAAGATTTTCACACGGCGTGTTCATTTTCATCATGTTGTTATCACTTTTATTGACCGAAAAAGTCCCCTTTGACAATAGTGCGTATAATCCTTTGCTAATATCCCATCAAATTTACTCGTTCTAAATAGGAAAAAATTTTTTTTGTATTATAGGTATCAATCGTCTTCTTTTTGTGAGTTATACTGTCATGCTTTGTTTCCTTGGTGCATTTATCGCTCTGTCGGTCACGGCTCAAATCTGCTTCGTTACAACCTTTGTTACAAAAGCTATTATATGTTGTCTATAATTTCTCCAAACATGGTTTTAATTGAACTTTACAGGAAGACAAAAACGCAGGCTGTTCGACAATTTGGGACCATGTCTCATTCATTTATGAATGTCTATACTTACGCACAACTTCCTACGGACAATACGTAATTTCTACTATGCGTTAAATCTATATAAACTCTTCTACATTGTGATATTTTTACTGAAATAGCGTCGTTCCGTAATTTGTATGTATTACAATCATAAATTTGAGTCGATATAATTGTCTATATAGCAATTACGCGACAGAGGCAAGTTCGTCAAAAATCTTCATTCTTTACTCGTTCGCAGATTTATACCTATCACTAATATTTGAACTGACAAATTTGTTAATGTTCTCTATTATTGTACGTACATATTAAGACGAAGTGTTGCCTAAATTATCTAGATAAAAAAAAAGTGGATTGTCCCAATCGGCAGAAAAAAGCTATATTAATTGTAGATGAGCTTAAACTCATTTCAAGTTATGCGGTAAAAAGCTCACAGAATAATAAATTTAACCATCATCTAAAAAATTGAAAGGCTGAAAAAATATCCATTTATTGGAGACCATGCTAGGCAACGTAATATTTATATA